ATACTCGAGACTGGGAAGAAAAAGAGGTTTAATTGGACTTACAGTTCCACATGGCTGGGGAGGCCTCAGAACCATGGCGGGAGGTGAAAGACACTTCTTACATAGCGGCAGCAACAGAAAAATGAAGCAGCAGCAAAAGTGGAAACCCCTGATAAACCTATCAGATCTCATGAGACTTATTTACTATCATGAGAATAGCATGGGAAAGACCAGCGCCCATGATTCGATTACCTCCCCCTGGGTTCCTCCCACAACACGTGGGAAATCTGGGAGACGCCATTCAAGTTGAGATTTTGGTGGGGACACAATCAAACCATATCATTCCGCTCTTGTCCCTCCAATCTCATGTCCTCACATTTCAAAACCAATCATGCCTTCTCAACAGTACCCCAAAGTCTTAACTCATTTCAGCACTAACCCAAAAGTCCACAGTCCAAAGTCTCATCTGAGACAAGGTAAGTCCCTTCCGCCTATGAACCTGTAAAATCAAAAGCAAGCTGGTTACTTCCTAGATACAATGGGAGTACAGGTATTGGGTAAATACAGCCATTCCAAATGGGAGAAATTGGCCAAAACAAAGGGGTTACGGGCCCCATGCATGTCCAAAAGTCAGCCAGGCAGTCAAATTTTAAAGCTCCAAAATGATCTCCTTTGACTCCAGGTCTCTACAAGGACTACATTTAGTTGTAATGTCTGTTCGGATTCTTTAGGCTAAAACAGTTTCTCAGACTCTTCCCTGTTTTTGATGACCTACAGTTTTGAGAAGTACTGGTTATATACTTTGTCAAAGTCCCTCAACTGGAATGTTCTCCTTTTTCCTTTTTTAACTTGGGATTTTTGGACGTGTGAATGTTTATGTATCCTGTATCAGCGTGACATCCAGGTCACGCTGATGCAAGAGGTGGGTTCCCATGGTCTTGGGCAGCTTTGCCCCTGTGGCTTTGCAGGGTACAGACTCCCTCCCAGCTGCTTTCACCGACTGGCATCGAGTGTCTATGGCTTCTCCAGGTGCACAGTGCAAGCTGTCGGTGGATCTACTATTCCGGGGTCTGGAGGAGAGTGGCCCTCTTCTCACAGCTCCACTAGGCAGTGCCCCAGTAGAGACTCTGTGTGGGGGCTCCCACCCCACATTTCCTTTCCGCAATGCCCTGGCAGAGGTTCTACATGAGGGCCCCATCCCTGCAGCAAACTTTTGCCTGGGCATCCAGGTGTTTCCATACATCTTCTGAAATCTAGACAGAGGTTCCTAAACTCAATTCTTGACTTCTGTACACCCGTAGGCTCAACACAATCTGGAAGCTGCCAAGGCTTGGGCCTTCCATCCTCTAAAGCCACAGCCCAAGCTCTACCTTGGCCTCTTTCAGTCAAACCTGGAACAGCTGGGACACAAGGTACACAGCATGGGGACCCTGGGCCCGGCCCACTAAACCACTTTTCCCTCCTGGGCCTCCAGGCATGTAATGGGAGAGACTGCCATGAAGGTCTCTGAAGTGGCCTAGAGACATTTTCCCCACGGTCTTGGGAATCAACATTAGGCTCTTTGCTACTTATGCAAATTTCTGCAGGTAGCTTGAAGTTCCCCTCAAAAAATGGGTTTTTCTTTTCTACTGCATTGTCAGGCTGCAAATTTTCAGAGCTTTGATGCTGTTTCCCCTTTAAAACTGAATGCCTTTAATAGCACCCAAGTCACTTCTTGAATGCTTTGCTGCTTAGAAATGTAAAGTTCCACAAATCTCCAGGGTGGGGCAAAATGCTGCCAATCTCTTTGCTAAAACATAACAAAAATTACCTTTGCTCCAGTTCCCAACAAGTTCCTCATCTGCATCTGAGACCTCAGCCTGGACCTTATTGTTCATATCACTATCAGTATTTTTGCAAAGCCATTCAACAAGTCTCTAGGAGGCTCCAAACTTTTCCCCATTTTCTTGTCTTCTGAGTCCTCCAAACTGTTCCAACCTCTGCCTGTTACCCAGTTCCAAAGTCACTTCACCATTTTCAGGTGTCTTTTCAGCAACACCCCACTCTACTGCTACCAATTTACTGTATTAGTCCATTTTCAAGCTGCTAATAAAGACATACACCTGGGACTGGGAAGAAAAAGAGGTTTACTTGGACTTACAGTTCCACATGGCTGGGGAGGCCTCAGAATCATGGCAGGAGGTGAAAGACACTTCTTACGCGGCGGCAGCAAGAGAAAAATGAGGAAGAAGTAAAAGCAGAAACCCCTGATAAAACCATCAGATCTCATGAGACTTAGCACTATCATGAGAATAGCACAGGAAAGACTGTCCGCCATAATTTAATTACCTCCCCCTGGGTCCTTCCCACAATACGTGGGAATTCTGGGAGATACAATTCAAATTGAGATCTTGGTGGGGACAGAGCCAAACCATATCACATGGTGATCTTCCCCATCCCATGCTTCAGCTGTCTCATGCGCCAGGCACTGTCCTAAACGCCTTTCATGGATGGACTCATCCATTCCTCACCTGAACCCTAATGATGCTAGTGCTACCTGCAGCTCCATTTTACAGATGAAGAAACTCAAGCCTATTTTGACCTCTCAGTTCTCACAGGCAGCAAGCAACAAACCTTATCCGTAAATCAGGATGGCAAAAATTTTGCCTGCAGTATCTTATAAAACTAAACATGCAATTACTGTTTGACCCAGCAATTGTACTCTCGGGCATTTAGAGAAATGAAAATGTATGTTCACACAAAAACCTGTACACAAATGTTTACAACATCTTTATTTGTAATAGCCAAAGACTGGGAGCAACCCAAATGTCCTTTGAACTATGGGTAAATGGTTCAATGTAGTTAATCTGTGGTTAAACAAAGGGTTAAACCGTGTTATGTCCACACCATGAAATAACAGCAAAAAGGAATGTACTGTTGATATAGTACACATAACACTGGATAAAACTCCAGGAAATTATACTTGGTGAAAAAAACAACTCCAAAAGGTTACATTGTGTACGACTCCATCAGTATAACATTTTTTAAATGACAACATTTTAGAAATGGAGAATAGTGCTCCAGGGATTGCGGACAAGGGAGAGCATGATGGGGGAAGGTGGGTGGGGCTATAAAGACAGAATGAGGGAATCCTTATGATGAACTGTTCAGTCCCTTGATTGGTGGTGGATATATGAACCTACATGTGAGAAAACTGTACAGAAATACATTCGTGCTCTCATGCATGTGCACACACACAAGTACAAATAAAATGAGGACACTGTGATCTGTGGCCTGTATCAATATATACTGTTGTGATAATGTATTACTGTTTTGCAAAATGTTACCACTGGGAGAAACTGGATAAAGCGTATGCTGGATCTCCCTCCATTAGTCCTTTTCTGTTTATTATTTACACAGGGTTTGGCTCTGCCACCCAGGCTGGAGTGCAGTGTTGCAATCTCAACTCACTGCAGTCTCAACCTTCCAGGCTCAAGCAGTCCTCCCCAACTCAGCCTCCCAAGTAGCTGGGACTACAGGTGTGAGTCACCACGCCTTCCTAAATTTTGCATTTTTTGTAGAGACTGTGTTTTCCTTTGTTGCCCAGGTTGGTCCTGTGCTCAAGAGATCTGCCTGCTTCAGCCTCCCAAAGTGCTGGGATTACAGGCGTGAGCTCACACCTGGCCCCTGTATTAATTCTTAAACTGCATGTAAATATACAATTATCTCAATAAGAATTACAAGTTAAAAAAAACTTGCCTGCACAAAAGCTGGGCTAGATAATCTTCTATATTTCTTTCATCGCTTAAGACCTGCAAAATTCCCAATGTCTCCAAAGCCAGTCTTCTTTCCACTACACCACACAACAGCTTCAAAAGCCAAAGCAAAATTAACTCTTGGCAAAGGGAAACGAAGACAATAAGCCACCATTTCACAGAATTCTGCATTGCTAGCCATTTTACGTCCCCTCTGAAAATTACTAATTAGCTTTTTTCATTAAACTGACTTCTGGCCAAAAAATGGAAAATCTGATTCTATAAAACGTTCTTGTTCACCCAATAATCTCTCCCTATCTCTATGTGCCACCTCCACAATAAGAAGTAACCAGTATACAAACTTCGGTTCTGAATCCTCCTTGGAAGCAACAGCGACAATGGATTATTGGTTCCCAAATGGTCAGCGGAGCACAAGAAACAGGACAGTGGGTCAGGAGCTGAGACAGACCCTAAATTCAGGCGTCACCTTGGCCAGGTCACTTAAACCTGAATCTCGCCTTTCCCATCTATAGAATGGGGATGTGGAACCTCCTTCGTAGACTACTGGAACAATTTAGAGATAATCCACGTGCCTGGCACTAGTATTCATTAGTTCATTAGTAGTAACAACTGAGTCAAGCTCATTTTATGCACACCTGGCCATGAAGTTCCCATTCAAGGCCTTAGAATCCCCACCTCACCGAGGTTAATGGATAATCCAGAACCTTCCCCACCTGGACCTCTCCTCTTTCAAACACCGCACAGCTCAGCTCATCTCCTCATCTCCTCTCCAACCCCACCACCACCCCCACCAAAAGGAAAACAGAGCAGCCTCGGGACCGGCCACCTGCTCAGCAGCCCCGCTCCTGGGCATGTCTGCGCCAGCCGGAGTCGGCTGTTACTATTATTACTACTGATGAATAATAACACCTAACGGTGCGTGGGAGTGGCCGACTCCCAAGGGAGATGTGCGGAACTCCAGCCCCGCGCAGCCCAAAGCCCCTTAGATGCAGATTTCGGGCTAAAAATCCTAAGAATATATACAACAGCTTTCCCGGCAGGGGAAAGGCGCGAGTTGTGAAGTTTCTAGAGTGCATTTTTCCGCGGTTCCCCGAGACGCTTCGCAGGGGCGATGCTGCCTGCGGCTGAGGGTGTTGGGACCGGGGTTCGCGACTGGAGGCCCTGGAGGTCCGCAGCTAGGCTGGACCGGGTCCCAGGGCGCCCGCTTCCCAGCTGAGCGCGCAGGAGGGGCCCCGGACGCCGGGGCGGGGTCGCCACCTTACTCACCTTCAGTGCTTCTCTTCGCCTCCCGGTAGCGCTCCCACAGGTAGCGCTTCATGTCCGGGGCGGTCCCCGGTGCGGCGCACAAGGGCCGGGCGGGGCCCACACACGGCCGCCCCCGAGCCGCGGTCCCGCAGCCACCCCGCAGAGTCGCCGCTGTCGCCGCCCTCGCTCCGGCCCCGCGGGCCACCACCACCGCCGCTGCCATGGTCCTGCCTGCTGCCTACTTCCTGCTGCCGACGCCGCCGCCGCCGCCACCGCGCCGCTCTGCGACTGCTGCCGCCCGGCCCAAGATCTACCCGCGCTCTGCCCTGCAGGCGGGCCGCTCCTGCGTCGGAACACGCAGGCCCGCCCCCCAGCCGCTGTGGGGCGGGAAGGGGGCGGGGGAGGGGGCGGGGCCGGATGGGGGCGGGGTCTGTCGGGGAGTGGGTGGGGAGGGGCGGGGCCGGGGGCCTCACGCCCAGCCTGCTGAGGTCAATTTCAGAGTGGCGCGAGGGTGGCCGTGTGGTGGCGCGCAGGCCACTTGGGATGGAATGATGAGGTACGACCCCGGCGCCGCCCGCCCAGCTCCGCCGCACCTTCCCCCTGCCTTCTGGGGCTGACCCCCAGCTCTGGCCGCACAGACAGCGCCCCTCCCACCCCAGCTGCCCTGGCCCTGGCCCCAGAAAGTGACCTCTCTCCGCATTAATGGCCTCTGGCAGTCTAATTAATGGCAGTCTGGACCTCCCCTGGATCGTGGGGCCCCTCTGGGACGTCCCGGATCCCCAGCTTAGATTTATCCAGGACCTGTGAGTGGGTAGCTGGGCCGAGGCTCCACTCGTGGGCTGATGTCGGCTGGAGATTCCCAGCCCCTTGATACCTCAGTAAATTTGAAGGGCACTACCATTACACAGCCTGGAAGGCCAATGCCCCACCCTAGATTTCCGCCTGGCAACAGAGCTCCTCGGAATACGGTCACCCAGCTCATGCCCCTGCCCACGCTAACGGCTCGGTGTACAGGTCTTCTCTTACACCTGCTAGGCTGCACCCGTCCTGTGCCTGTGGTTCCACTAAAGCCAAATGAACAGTAACTTCCTTGTCTGGGGGCAATTCTGTGTGAACTGAGTCAGACACAGCTTCTGCAGGAAAGACTGATGTGGCCCAGCCAGAACCCTACTGAAAATCGCTGGAAGGCAAGGACTTCCCAAGCTGTGCAGGTGAAGTAGGCGGAATAGGCGTCAAGGCTGGCACTCTGCCAAGGAGACCATACTGGCTTGTGTGAAATGGGTGGAGCACAGTTTAAGACAAATAACCCAAGGCATTAGTGTATGCTCCAGTTGTGGGATGGAGGGGTCTGGAGGTGTTTCATGGAAAAAGGTGGCATCTGGGTTAAACCACCATTTATTGAAGGCTTGCTGTGTGCAGTATCTCATGCAATCCTCTCAGTAATCCTGAAAAGCAGACTTCATAATTTCTCCAGTTTTACAATATAGTCATCCCTCTGTACCTGCCGGGAATTGGTTCCAGAACACCTGCCCCATACATACGTAACAAAATAGGTGATGCTCAAGTCCTTTATATAAAATGGCTAGTATTTGCATACACACATACTTCTATATATTTTAAACCATCTTGATTACTTTTTTTTTTTAAAAAAACAGAGTCTTTCTCTGTCAGCCAGGCTGGAGTGCAGTGGTATGATCGCAGTGAACTGCAGCCTCGACCTCCTGTGCTTAAGCAATCCTCCCACCTCAGCCTCCTGAGTAGCTGACATTACAGGCGTGAACCACCACAACCAGCTAATTTTTGTATTTTTTCGTAGAGATAGGGTCTCGCCATGTTGCCTAGGCTGGTCTCAAACTCCTGGACTCAAGCAATCCGCCCACCTTGGCCTCCCAAAGTGCTGGGATTACAGGTGCAAGCCAATGCACCAGGCCTCAATTACTTTTCATACCTAATACAATGTAAATGCTCTGTAAATAGTTGTGATACTGCATTTTCTATTTGTATTACTTTTCATTGTTGATTTTTTTTTCTAATATTTTTATCCATGGTTGATTGAATCCACGAATGCAAACCTGCAGATACAGAGGGCTGACAGTAACGAAACCGAGGCCAAGAAAGATGAGATAACTTTCCTAAAACCACACAACTGAACCCATTCTTCCATTTGGCTTCCTAACATATAGTAAGTAGGATTTAGGCGGGTGATAGGGAAGAAAGTAGCCAATAAGTAATCCTTAACAGCTAATGGTTAATGTTTTACGAATCACTGATAAAATGAGACAATAAAATGTTTAAAACAGATATGATATCAAATACACGAGCTCTGGTACTTTAAACTCACTTTATGATTTTAGTTACATGCCAAATTATATATTTTTTACTTCGTGTATCATAAAAAGGGTTGTGATAGCAATTGTAAATTTTGTTCATGTGGAAAATTAATTCATAAATTCAGCAATGCAAAAATAATACAATTAGAATTTTAATAACATTGCTTCTGTATACTTTTGTATATGGAACACTATGAGATCAAATTGCTCTACCTACCATAGAAATGTGAATCACCTAAAAATTGTTCTCCTTAAGTAAAATGAGTTACAATGTTTAAGTGCCTAAATAATCATATTTCCAGACCTTGGTTATTATCATCCTGTGTATTTTAGAAGAAAATATCCAATAAAAGAGTTCTAATTAAAGACAAGTGGAAACAACAGATGCCAAAAAGCCCATGATACATTTTTATTCTTTATTAATATCATCTGAGGTCTTCAACAGTTTTGTTTCAGTGTGAAATCTTCTCTGCAAAAAAGACTTCTGAGATATCGAAATATAATCTGGGCTATGAAAAAGCCACTTTTCTGATATGAGCTCATATTCCCAAGGGTTTTTTGTGCTAAGAGGCCGTGGCAGGGAATGGTGGTAATTGGCGGTGATTTCGCCTTCTCCACTCTCACTTTTAGCTAACAAAATTCTTTGCCTTGAAAGCTTTATTAAACCATTCATTTTACCCAAAGATAAAATGTTAGAGGAATAATCTTTCTTTTTGTTTGATGCTTCCTTTCCTGAGTCATTCCATATTTCAGCATGATTTTGTGTCTTCCGTTGTATCTTTTCCTCAGCAGATACGCAAATAATGGGTTTCTTTTTCCCTTTTCCAGCAGCACATTTTGATTTATCTGAAATTGTCTGAGGTGCCAAGTCCATTCTTCTAGCCCTGTGTAATTTATCTGCATTCATGCACATTGCAGAGCTCACTGTATGAGAACTCTGAGCACTGTGATAGTTTAATTTAAGCAAGTGCTCCCATAATGAGAAGCCATTCCTAGAACCCTCAGAATGTTGCTGGCTCATACCTTGAGGCCAACATCTCCGGCTCCGGATCCACTCAATTTCTCTCAGAAGGCTGCAAAAGATCAAAAGTTGTCAAGAGGTCATATATATAACATGAATAACCAGAAGCATATTTCTGTTTGGAACATGAAATAGAAACTCACTGCAGGATTCCATGGATTGATGAATGAGAAGATCCCAGGTGGATCACCCTTAAATCAAGTGATCTGTACAAATAGCCTACTGCCTCAATCATGACGTGATGACAAGAGTCACTTGCCAATAACTGACCTGCTAGATATTTGAAAATAAGAATATTAGACTTTTATTACTGCTGGCTTCACACATTTAAAAGAGAAGGATAACAAACATTTATAAAAAGTGGCATTGGAACATGATTTATTTGTAATATTCTGCCAAAAATATTTAACCTGAGTCTAATCATAAAGAAACAATCAGGCTGGATGCAGTGGCTCATGCCAGTAATCCATTCACTTTGGAAGGCTGAGACATGTAGATTACTGGAGCCCAGGAGTTCAAGACCAACCTGGGCAACATGGCAAAACTCCATCTCTACAAAAAATACAACAATTAGCTGAGCATGGTAGCGCGTGACTATAGTCCTAGCTACTTGGGAGACAGGTGGGAGGATCGCTTGAGACCAGGAGGCAGAAGTTGCAGTGAGCCAAGATTGTGCCACTGCATTCCAGCCTGGACAACAGGGTGAGACCTTGTCTCAAAAAAATAGAAAGAAAGAAAGAATCAGACAGATACAAATTGAAGGACATTGGGACAGGGATGGGAGGGTGGAACCTGACTTCAACTCTTCAAAATAGTCAATGTCATAATGACAAAACAAAGGTACTTAAATCTAGACTAAAAGAGATAAATGCAATGCAAGATCATCAATAAGTTAACAGCTATAGAGGACATTACTAGATACTTGGGGAGATTTGAATATGAACTATAGTTAGATAATAGTCTTAGGCAATAGTTAAATTTCCTGGGTTTGATTATTGTGGTTATATGGGGGAATGTCCTTGTACTCAGAAGACATATGCTGAAGTATGGTATTTAGACATAAAAGTTTCATGTTTGCAACTAACTTTCAAATGGTTCAGAAAAAAATACATGTATGTATGTGTCTGTGCCTGTATATGAAAGAGAGAACACAGATGTGGCAAAATATTAACAACTGGTGGGCCAGGTGCGGTGGGTGGCTCATGTCTATAACCCCAGCCCTCTGGGAGGCTGAGGAGGTAGGATTGCTTGAGTCTAGCAGTTTGAGACCAGCCTGGGCAACATAGGGAGACTCTGTCTCTATACAAAATAATAATAACAATTTAAAAAAACAATTGATGAAGATAGGTGAAGGTTATATGATCTTTCACTATACTATTCTTGAAATTTCTCTGAAGGTTTGAAATTTTTCAAAATAAAAAAATTGAGAAAAAAGCTTTCCAACTGCCACAGTCAATGAATTGAATTCTCGACCTGGTGCAGTGGCTCGCGCCTATAATCCCAGAGCTTTGGGAGGCTGAGGTGGGCGGATCACTTGAGGTCAGGAATTCAAGACCAGCCTGGCCAACATGGCAAAACCCTGTCTCTACTAAAAACACAAAAATTAGCTGGGCGTGGTGGCATGCACCTGTAATCCCAACTACTTGGGAGGCTGAGGCAGGAGAATCACTTGAATCTGGGAGGCGGAGGTTGCAGTGAGCTGAGATTGTGCCACTGCACTCCAGCCTGGGCGACAGAATGAGATTCCATCTTCAACACAATAATAATAATAATAAAATTGAATTCTCTAAAATTTGTTAAAATAAAAACAATCCATTTTACAATCTAACTTGGAGGTGGTACTTATTTATTCATTTTACCCATTTACAAGACTACTTTTAAGGGGCTGGACTTATACCATTGATTATAAACATAACGTAAGGCTGGTATGTGTA